CTCTTCGCCCTTTGAGTTGTACAGGCTCATGGGAAAGCCGGCACGCTGAGTGGCGAATCCATTTGCCATGATGATTACATCAGCTGGCAACTTTCTGCCATCAGCGGTGATGCAAGCGTTGGGCTCGATCTTGGTCAGCTTGGAGCCCTCGAGGTGCACGTTGTTGCGCCTCAGCGAAGGCATGTAGGTGTCAGTGATGACACGTCGCTTGCATCCCACAAGCATTTCCTCCTGAGTTGCGAGGAGCAAAGGCCAGTATTCCTTTGGGGCATGAGCCTTGACGTTCCAAGTGCACTGTCGAGCCCAGTACCATCTGAAGATGCGTCCAAACACGTTGAGCTTGGTGATCGTGAAGTGGTTCTCGAGCACCAGCCAAATCAGGAACCGGTTGAGCGCTCTGAAGAATCCAATGTGTCTGACAAGCCACTTCCAGCCTGGAATGTACTCCAAAGGGTTGTGCGTCACTGGCATCATCCAGTGCTTGGCGCGCACAAACTGCGTCAAGGACTTGCAATCCTTGGCAATGATTGGCATGAACTGAGTCGCGCTGCAGCCGTTTCCAACCACAACCACGTGTTTGTCCTTCAAATCAACCGAGTGATCCCATCTCGCAGAGTGGAACAAAGGACCAGCGAACGTCTCGTGGCCGGGGATGTCGCAGTCGTTGGGCTGAGAGAGACCGCCGACGGCACTGACGAACACTTTGGAGACGTAATGATGCTCCTCCTTTGTAGCCAGATCGATGCTCCAAACGTGCCACAAACCAGTAGCGACATCGAATCGGGCTTCCTTGACCTCCGTCGACACTGCGAGAAGCAAGCAGAATGCACTTTGCATGAGACGGTCGCTCGAGCCCGAATTTGGTGTTGTGAAAAGTCACTCACGGTGCATACGCCTCGGCAGGTCATATTCCGCCACCACAGTGTTGAAGTACTCCTTCAGCTCCTCTTGGAGTGGGTAGAAGGTGGACCAATCCGCCTTTTGGCGGAAGCTGAAGCTGTATACTGCCGCTGGCACGTCACAGCCGCAACCAGGGTACTGCCAGAGGGAGCGCGCAAAGTGCCACACGCGGCTCAGTCCCGTAATTCGACCTGTGCGCAATGATTGAGAGGCAAAACGAGCAACTCACTGTGTTGATGGACCAAGTACCGGCTGGAAGAGCGGCCTTGTCCAGAATTAGAAAATCGTCCGTCTTGAGCTTGCGCTGCAATTGACAGCCCATAGCGATACCGGACAGGCCGGCACCAACGATCAAGATCTCATGGTACTCGGGTCTGATGTTCTTGTGAGCGAACGAGTCAGCGGGCAAGGAAAGGGCCGCAGGGGCCGACTTGACCGCAGCCATGCTGAATGAGACGGAACGTGAAAAGGGACGGGAAACGAGGGGAATGGGAGTGGCGCTGAGCGAAGGATGATCTTTACGAAGGCGAACGTTTCGGTCAAGTCGTTGAGGACTGAAGGGAATGAAGGATCAAAGTCAAGAAGGCTCTCTCACGCCTCGACAAATCTTTGTTGCAGGATCTCACAGTCGCTTGGCCAATCAATGAGCGACTTCGATAGCTCGCTTTCCTCGCCCTTCGTCTTTCAACCTTTTGTCTGAAGCTGTTGTGTGCTCGCGCCTGCTAGGCACTCGAGCACCAGACCCATCACCACGTCCAGCAAGAGACGGAGATGCGCGCCTTTCATCTGCGTCAGCATCGTGATTTTGCACCAGCGACCACGCTTAAGCGGCAGAGCCCTCGCAGGCACCCTGCCGGAGTACGCAGATTCACGTTCTAAACGCAACGCAGCGCAGCGCTCAGCAGCAGCAGCAGCAGCAGCCTGCATGCTGCAGGCTTCACTTACCCAAGCGGGGAAACGCAAGCGGTGCCCGAGCGTTGGTGGTACCCAGGCGCAGCTTATTTCTCGCGCAAGGCCGACTTCCGTCCACTTCATCCTCTCATGGACCAAGCATTCAGGCTGTGCACGGTTGCTCTCGACCTTGGACACTCATCAGGGCTGGCATGAGGCAGCGCACTGTTGGCGAATGCATCTCTGAGCAGCTAGAGTGCTGTTGGATCTGGTATTGTTATCGCAGCGAAGCAAGTCCACATTCGTCTACGACCTCACCAGCGCAAATCTGCGCCACGATCTCTCATAACCATCGCATGTGGGGCGTGACTTGTTTTGCGGGGGGGGG